GGCGTGATTTTTTTTAGGGGAAAAAGGGCGCATTGGTAAATAAATATAATCGGGACATGTCGATATTTCGGACAACCGTTTTAACACATTTTACATGTACAGGGTGCGTCTCAAAAGTGGCTCACCCGTATAACTTTTTTATTTTTTCAGATAAGAAAACGAGATTTGGTATTTTTAGGATATGACATAAATTAGGTTGTAATTGACGGTATTCGATTGTTTTTGGTCACTTCCTGTTTCACCGGAAATGACTACAACTATTGATTTTTAAATGGCACCGTCGGTATATTTTTACTTTATAGATAGATAGAAAATTAAAATGATAGAAAATTACATTCTGAATAGAATGACATATCATATGTCAACTTTGGATATTTTTGCTTAAAAAAATCGTATTTTAAATTTTATCTAGAGTAGGTACCATGCATGTGTTAAAAACACTAATTTTTAATTAAGGAGCCTTGGAAAAATAGATTTGATCATCTAATGATTTTCGTGTGCTGTCCTGGCCGGGTTAAAGATGCCAAATCGTATTTTTAATCATACCTCAATTTTTTCAAATGGAACTAAAAAGCATCGTTTTACGAATAATTTGGTATCACACACTTGGTATTTCGAGTCAAATTGTCGTTATGAACCGCATGTTCCAATTTCAAATAAACACCATATGCGAAGATGTCAAAAATTGACATATGATATGTCATTCTATTCAGAGTGTCATTTTCTATCGAATAATGTAAAATATACCGGGGGTGTCATTTAAAAATTAAAAATTTTAGTTATCTCCGGTGAAACAGGAAGTGACCAAAAACAATTGAATGAACGTCAATCAATCCTACGTTATGTCATAATATACTAACATACCAAATCTCCCTTTTTTATCCGAAAAAATAAAAAAGTTGTAGGAGTGAGCCACTTTTGAGACGCAGTCGGTATGTAGAGTATGAATTGGGAAAATACAGTGACGACCAATAACGACCTCACGTGTCCCATATAAAAAAAAATATAACCAATGTTTGTAGGTTACTAGTAAGTGTTACTAGGTAAGATTATTATTATTAGAAATAATTTTATAAACAACTTCAATTTTGTTTATGTCTGAATGAGGATTTATCAACAGTACCAAGAACAAACGTGTGTACATTTAGTTTATCAGAGTCAAGAAACATCATTTTAGATTAAGTGCTTGATATCGATATTTTCATGGATTAGAATCAAGTATAAATTGAGAGACAAAATCAGATTTAGGACATAGTTTTCTCAAATCTATAGCAGAAGAAACAAATAATCTATTTTCAAAATGATCAAGAATTTAGTGTTGGTGGCTTTTGCATCAACTGAAATAAGAACCGTGGGTGTTTGAGAAGGTTTGAAAGAAAGCAATTTTTTTTACAGCAAAAAACATAATTTTATTGCGTTCTTTCGAGCCTTCCCAAACACCTACGATTTTTTTTCTGCGTATTAGCTACTGGGAACTAACAATAATCATAATGGAAATAAGAATATCTTTATTTCCTTGGTACCTGGCTCTTACTGCCAGGTGGCTTTGACAAGGTTGTAATTTATTTTTAAGGTGGCTACACACACTAATGCAAGCTTGACAAGCATGCATGAACAATCTTTTTGTACAAGCAAACTGTAGCGTCTGTAGGGAAAATTTGAGCAAGCATTTTAATTGTGCAAGCCGCTTGATGATTGATTGAATTTGAATCATGCAAGCTTGGACAAGCCATACTTGCGCAAGCGAAACGGTACGTGTGTACCACATATATTCAGCTTGTACAGACAATTAGTTCAGTCCGTGATCGTAAATGTCTAGCGATCTGTAAAGGAGCAATCGAGGATTATTGGAAGATTTTATTCGCGCATACGAAAATCAGCCGTTTGTTTGGCGAATTAAATCACCAGAATATCATGATAGGGTGAAGAAGGATGCAGCATACAAAAATTTACTTAATAAAGTAAAAGATAAGTATAGATTAATTGACAGCCAAGCCGATAAGGATGCCGTTATTAAAAAGATAAATGCCTTCAGGATTCCTTCTTCTTTTTCTTCGGGTTTCCTTCTTTTTCGCGGCATCAAAAACTTGTTTAAGCATGCATGTACCGTGTGGCGGTGAAGTTAAATTATGCATGGCTTGTACAAAAATATTGTTCATGCATGCTTGTTAAGCTTGCAGTAGTGTGTTTAGCCACCTTTAGTGAAGTAAAGTGATTGAGTAAAAGTGATTTTAGATATTTACCTAGCCAAAATCGTCATCGATTATCATTCCCCAATCGTCATTGACGCCTTTTTTTCGATCATACGATATTTTTCACTTTAAAATACCTAATGCTAAATCACTAGATAGTTTTGACCTTACAAGATAGATAGATATTGTTTTATTCTATGAATAAATACAAGACATACCTTTAACGCATAATCTCTATCTCCAAATGTTTTTAAAATGCTATAATGCTATATCGACTCATTTAAAATTTCAACAGATTCTTACCTATGAAAGTCAAATTGTAACTTAAAATATAACTAATGTATAAATCCATTACACTCGTCCATTATCACATCAATAAATTAAATGTTCGAATGAAAACCTTAAAGTAGGTCACGAGAGTATTAAAACAGTCAGTTACAATGGAATTGTGTCATGATCTTCTGTTTTTATTTTGAAAAAGACTTTTTTCATAGACATTTAAATAAAATACTATTTGGCTATTACTACTATTACTACTGCCATTACTCGCTGACGGGTATTTGACACGCATCAGAAGACGCAGTTTTACGCAAAGCGTTTCCTTTCATGAGTTTTCTGTGACTAAAAAGCCCGATACCTGATGTTAACTCTCTTCCGCACTCCGGACATTCAAAAATCTCATTGCTTTGTTGCCTCTTTACTTTTTGCCTGTCGCTGTTAACTGTGTTTACAATTCCCCCCTACTGCATTCTTATCTCCTTTAAGTTTTTGTGGAAAATATCCTTCTACGTTTTGAGTTGTCCACCCGGTTTCCTCTTACCGGTAGACTTTTTTTTTGCATCCTGGATACGTGATCAGCCCATCTTTAGCAGGATTTAGTAATCATGACTTCAAGGCTCTCGTAGCTAGCTTTTTCAAGGACCGATACGTTTGAGACTTGGCGGAACCATTTGATTCTTAAGAGTTGTCTAAGGTGTCTCTGTTGCAACTTGTTTAATGCGTTCATGGGTCGGCGGTACGGCACCCAGGTTTCGCTTCCATATAACATGCCGGGGATTATTATTGCTCGGTTTCGTTTTTGTGCTCAAGTCATGATTGTAGAATTTAGAATTTAGAATGAGTGGGAGAGGGATTAATCACTTCGACCTTACAGATCCATTGTGTCCCCCTTTCTTGAATCATAACTCATCATACAGTCCCAGGGCTTTGACAAAAGCCAGTATCTGGGACGGTTTTATAGAGGGTAGTTCTCCATCTCCAATATCAGTCGTACCAAAATTCATGGCACGAATGGTTGTCGTCTCGGCGCACTCAGTGATGAGGTGTACTGGTGTTTCCCCATCTTCCCCACAGAATCTGCATTCGCCGTTTCTTCTTAGTTTCAATCTACTGAGGTGTTCATTGAGGAGACAGTGTCCTGTTAAAAACCCCAGGAAGATCTGTGATTTTTCTTGATCATAAGCCCTCAGAAACTTCTTCGAGTGTCTTAGGCCATTGCAAGATTTCCATTCCAGGTTGCGGATGGAATCTTCCAAGTTCTTGAGTTCCGCCTTGAGTTGGTTACCACTTGGAAAGCAGAACGGTTTTGGTCCAGTTAGTGGAGTGTTCGCTCCTTTCCTAGCTAGATTATTTGCTTTTTCATTGCCTTCTATCCCTTGGTGAGCAGGCACCCAGTGTAGGAGGACTTTGTTTTCTTTGCCTAATTTATTCAGCTTCTCTAAGCATTCTTTGACCAATTTCGAATCGATTGATACTGAGTTGATCGCCTTTAACGCTGCTTGACTATCAGATAAGATGGCTATTTCTTGTGTCCGATAGTTCCTATCTAAGATAAGTTGTACGCATCTCTCGATAGCGTAGATTTCTGCCTGTAGGATACTAGGGCCCATTGGTTCGGAGTAATTAGCTCTCGGCCCAAACACTCCGATCCCTGTTCCCGTATTGGATTTGGAAGCATCAGTATACCAAGTTATGGTATGGTCTTTTAACTGCTGGGCAAGCGTTTCGGTCTTCCAATCCTTCTTATTGCTCAATACTACATTGACATGTTTGTCAAAGTTGTACGTTCTTGGCATATCGTCCACTGGGAGTTGCAGGAGTGGTATTTCCTTTTTGAGGGTGTTCCTAGCCCGTGATCTGACAATTCTCCCAGTACTAATTCCGTTAGTGACCATTCTAATCATTGTCGCATTGGCATATCTACCAATGACAATGTGCAGTGGTGTTAGATCTAGAATGACCTCCATTGCTGCTGATGGACAGGTTCTCATGGCTCCTGTGAAGTCATGATTGTAAAAATGTCTGTCTGTCTTTTAATTTCCAGAATGCCCTTGAGGCGCTGCTAATCCTGTGCTGAATTTCAGAGTCGATGTTGGCCTTTTCCCAAATCAAACTGCCGAGGTAATTGAATTCCTCTACATATTCCAATAGTTCTCCGATTTTTATAGCATTGCTATGATTTTCCGGGGGAGTGCACTTAGTCTTTAGTTTTATCGATGTTCAGATTAAGATCCTAGGCCTTGTATGCCCAGGTATATGTGTTCAATATTTTTAATTATAAGTAATTTCTAATCAGTGTGAAAATATATTATCTGTATTGCTCGATCCTCACGTGTGCAATATGAAAAAAATATAACCAATGTTTTTAGTCTATTACTAGGTAAGATTAGAAATAATTTTATAAACAACTTCAATTTTTGTTTATGTCTGAGAGGATTTGTCAACAGTACCAAGAACAAACGTGTATACATTTAGTTTATCAGAGTCAAGAAACATCATTTGAGATTAAGTGTTTGATATCGACGTTTTTATGGATTAGAATCAAGTATAAATTGAGAGACAAAATCAGATTTAGGACATAGTTTTCTTAAATCTATAGCAGAAGAAACAAATAATTTATTTTCAAAATGATCAAGAATTTAGTGCTGGTAGCTTTTGTAGTGCTTGCAACTACATCAACTGGTAAGACTTTCATACATATATAAAGTGATATTAGAAAAAATAATTTTTAAATACTATTTTAATTTGAAATTTTGATATAAATTCCTATCATAGAATAAGGCATGTATTTCATGGTCGTTTAGTTTATTTCACTTTATCATAAATGATCTTAGTTTCATTTATTTACCTTTTCCAAGGATTGCATACTAAATTCTTAAAATACAAGGTAACTTTGAAAAAATGATAATCTTTTTAAGAATCTTTGATGTCACTGGCCAATATATAGGCCATAATCTTTCATAAGAGATTTAAATAGATAAGATAATAGATAAATAGACTGAAGCTATTAGAAGACAAATATGTCTCAATTTTTCTTCAATTATATTTCAAACATTTTTTTTACATTTTTTTTAAATTAATATTAATGTTTCAGGTGTTTTTGGTTCAATTGGCTGTTATCTTTGTAATTCCTACAACGATGCCAATAAGTTAGCATGTATAGATCCAATGTCTGCCACAGTCAACATTACTACATGTGCTAACAACTACGTTTGTACAAGGGTCTCTTATGTAACACGTAAGTAAACAATTATTAATTATGTCAAATTAATTTTTGGTTTTGAATTTTTCCTTTCCAATTTTTTTTTCTGCAAAGGCAAGTATCTATAATATCATTTTATGTATTTATAGTCATTCAGCATTTCTTTTAAGAGTCTATTACGCTAGCGCTGTACTGTTCGGGTCGCTCTCAGGGGTCGGGTGTGTGGCCGAAAGAAATATATATTTCAGAAATCTGCCTAAGGCTTAGCCCGATCCTGTCATGTTAGGCCACATCCAAAATTACAAACACAAGTGCTTTGATTAAGGTTTGCAGAGCTTCAGCATTTGCCATAGAGCAATTTGTTACAAAACCATATAAATTATATATCACTGTAATCAAAAAACTTCAATCTATTTCCATATTCTAACGGAATTTTAAATTATGTCTTTATTTAAGAGAAAATTTAGTCCAAACATAAGGAATATCTTGTTGATGTATGACCATCAAAATCTTAAAAATAAAGAAGTTGCCTAAAAATGTGCTAAAATACGGATATAGTATAATCCTTTATCTTTAATTTCCTTCTTTATTTGTGTAAAAATACCTAGCCAGTTTTACATAAAACGTTAAATGCCGAACGCTTATTTCGCTACTTTTTCGGTCTAGTGAAATGGACTCTTAAGGGATTTATTTTGATACTCATGAGCACATAACACAGATATCTAAGATTTTTACTCGTATACAGTTGCATGTTTTTTATTCTTACTCGACTTCCTCTGAGTGAAATTCATTTTCTAGGTAATTTTATGTCAATCAAAAGCGCAATAATTTTATTTTGTTTAAATGAATAAAAGTTTCATTATAAATTTTTAGTAATAAAATATTTAGAAGATATTTATCAAATTAAGAAAATTTTGATTTCTATTCAACAGAAAAAGTTTTTGTGACATCAAGAGGCTGTGATCTGTCTGGAGATACCTGCAACAATATCTACAAAACTTTAGTAGCCTACTATCCTGATCTGTCCACATTTAACTGTTATTATTGTACAACGAATTACTGCAATAGTCTGTCTGGACTCGAAATCCAAAAACAACTGGAAGCTGCGGAATCTGACAAAATAATAATTCCAAAGAATATTGTTTAGTTTCGTAAAGTATCTTTTTTACTTTTTAATAAACTTTCTTTTTTAATATTTTATTTGTTTTACTTTACTATTCTTCTAAGCTGACTTGTATGCATTCGAGACTTGTTTATATTATTACACACTTATTTATTTATCTATTTTATTAAATATAGTGTATGGTTGAAGTCCGAAATTAGATAATATGAGTTAATGATAACAAGTTATTGTTTGGGTTTGGTTGTTTTGTTTTATGTGATTCTCGAGATTAACGGCTAATATTGAGACTAACCTTATTTCGGACCTTAACCGCAACATACCGAGTGCATAACTTTTTATTTTTTCACTAACAAACCAAATCTCGTTTTTTTATCTGAAAAAAATCAAAAAAAATTATAGGGGTGAGCCACTTTTGAGACGCGCCCGGTATAGTTCATACCAATAATTATACTTTTAGTCACGTGATTATACGCTGGACCGGCACAGCGTTGCCCACTTTTACATATTTTCGTTTATTCAAAATATTTTAGAAAACAGAAATAATAAATTAATTTATAAATATATAAACAGTTATTATTAACATAAAAAAAACTCACCTCCTCTCCGCGTCCTTTTCTAATTCGAAGTTCAATAAAACACAAAGTTTACTACGAGATTATACTCTATGAACTCGGCATATAAGATGTTACTATTAAGTAGACTTCAACACTAACCTCGAACTGTTGAGTGCAACTACCATGAACTTCAAATCTTACTATAATTATTTGAACTTAAGTGACTCTAACTTAACTATGAGACTAGACTGTAAATAATACTAATAAAAATGATTAAGCAATGTATTAAAGTATTCAAAAGTTATATAAAGAAATGAAATTGAAGGTAAATGAAAATAGATGTAAAGTGATGATAGATGTAAAGTCATAATCCCCCTTACTTAAAACCAAGTACAATATCCTGGGTGGATTACAAATATCAAACTAAATATAATCTTATCTAAACAGTCTTACTTTAATGTCTTGAAACTACTCGAAACTTCCTCCGGCTGAGCTATGGCGTATAGCTACAAGGCTGCTACGGCGCCGGCGGTGTACAGCAGCTCGGTGTACTGTCACTGGAGCCCACGGATGTCAGCAGAGGTACAGGTGAAAGGTAAGTGTTGAGATTTCAAATGGTGAACATAAAAATCCTAAATAATATTGGTTGTCTTAGAAAAGAGCCTCAATTATAGAACAAGGTCTAGCACAACGTGTAGGAGTTAATAAAGGTAATAAAGAAGGACTAATCAAATCTGAACTTTACCTCAACGAGGGTTTATGATGTCAAACGGGTACCTCTACACGGACAACAGGAACGGATGGAATTCTGGACTGTTCTGTGCTACGGTCTGGATCGGTCTTCTTGCTCTACAATTACGAACAACCAAATAAGATTTAAGAAAGATAACACTCAACTAATCTTTCTACACCACGTGGGCGTGGAAATGTCGAAAACCAGTCAACAATACGAATAAAAATCAGTTGAGCATTGACTTAGAATAGGCAGAAGAATTACCTTGGAACTCTCGGGGACTTGGGCACGTGCAATCGGAATAACGGGTGAAAATTCGGCTATTTAATCCTTGACGGAAATTTGATCGGTGGTCCAACAAATTCAACAAAATCCAACCACGTCTCTGACCAAATGTGTTTCGGAAGACTTAGTCCTTCTCTAAGAAGACCTGCTAATTACCAACAGGGAATGCCTGACGAAACAGGCAGCCAGTTCTTCACCCGATGTTTTTCGGTCGGGAAATAACACAAGGAGTGATGCAAGGGTTCGATTTCCTTCACAAAATCAGATTTCAACCAGAAATCTCCCTCCAGGATATAGGTAGAGAAATATATATATTTAGAGGCACAGAAACCTTGGGATCCCCTCTATAATTCCCGTGACAATTTGGAACAGAGCATGTAAAAGGCATTCTACAATAAAATATTAACCCTTTAATACCTATCTTTTGATTATTGTTAAGTAATCATTATAAAGTACTATGCAGACTGGCGGCGAAGGCTCATCTAGGTGTATCATCTTGATAAATACTTCTAGTTCTTACCTTAAAATAATTAATAATAGAGGAGTACGACAAGCACAAAAGATTCAAGTTCCCTATGTGGAATGTCTGGTTTGGATTTTTATTAAACTGTTATTTTATCACAATTTTCTGATCACACCATGCACTGAACACTGAGAATTAAACAAACGTGTTGCAGAAGCACAACAAACTAGAGATAATTAATTATTTCTGGTATGCAATCGGAACGAGAAACCACTACCGGCTTTTCACGTTAAAGGTAAACAATTTAATAATGCGCTGCCTTCGCCGCCATATTTGCCTTGCCCATATCATGTTGATTGGCCTTGAGTTGAGGTGGTGCTGGTCAAATCAAATCGCCATGTTGCCAGTTGTTGGCTGGTGCACGAGCACGGTTCTGAAATGTGATTGGGCGTATTTTTCATACGTCATTAATTGGCATTTTAAAATTATTTCAAATTAAAGCAATTTTGAGGGCCTATAAAAAAATTATTCAATGTCATGGAACTATTTTTTTTTGGATAAATATACTGAAAATAGTCTTCTATTTCAGATTTTGTCCTTGAATTGGAAATATTTTATTTTTTGTGAAAGACCCCATTATCAAAAAATATAAATATTGCTTTAAACAGCTAGGTTAAGAAAAATATGCGCCACGGCACTGTTTGGTGACATCGCCACAATTTGCTCTCGCGTGTTATTTGTCTTTGGATTCTTTAGTCATTGTATTAAATACTAGACCTTTAACCTGTGTGTGAGATGATCAAAATTTTAAAATTCAAAATTGTTCATGATTAAACATCAACAAAAAAGTCGTTTCCCGCAACTAACAGTTTAGTTGATATCAAATATACATCCATGGCAATAACCAAATTTACCTTAGATGTGCGACTTTGTCAGAAATAATCACAAAATAAACGTGCTTCCCTGACAAAAATCTACAGTAATTTATCTGAGATAGAACAGTTTCTGGGGCTTTTTTGCGACTTCTTCCCCTTTTTCCAATCAGCCAGGCCCTAAACGAGGTCCATACACGGGTCATTTTGTCTAATTACCGCCCTATCGGCACGTCCGCTCGAAAGTTTCACTTCTTTCCCGCCAGATGGGGCCGAAATAACGAAGGTAATTGCGATAAACGAGCGAAGTCTGTGCTTCCCCTCCCTCCACACCCTCCAATTTCCAGTTTTTACGCGTGAGAATTGGAGCTTCTTTCCTCCATTTAACTGGAGGGATGTCAGTCACGTCAGTCAAAGTCCTTTCGTTGACAATTCATATCGCAGACGGTTGAAAATACAGTGATTGTATAGTCTGTCCAACGAGAAGATCCTTGACAGTGATAGATGTGTCTGTCATTTTAATTTCAAAGTAGTTTACCTTATTTTACAAAGAAATAAGTTGGTACAACTGGAACGCATAGCAGGAAATTAATATATGTATTTAAAATTTGACTGACAAGTAACTTAAAAATATTGTGAAAAAAACTGTATAAAACTGAAAAAATGTAATCGAGTTATTTTATTTAATAAAAAACGGTATGTGTTAATACAAAACAAACAAAAACAAGCCACCACATACCAAAAAATATAAAAAAGAACTATTTCTTACTTTCAAGCTTTATGAAACTTCCAATCATTAATGATTATATTTATCAATATAACTTATGTACAAATACAAATTTGTAATATTCCGCAGGAATAAATAAAACAAACTATTTTATTAATAATAACACTTACCAAATTTTATACCTCACAGGTTGATTAATTAACTTAATTTTTTTAAACCAGTACCTTTTGACATTATTTTTCTGCAGTACTAGAATCCATTATTTACCTATCGTGTGAAGTCGATATTTTACAGCTACTCCAGTTTTTAGTATGTGTTTAGTATGGCCCTTATTGATAGTAACTTTATTGGGGTGTATCTGTATAAGACTTTCTGCCTGGGCATCGAGTATTAACCATAAACTGTGCTCTGGGTTCTACAGTTAATTTTCACTCGATTTTTCCTCCCCTTGACTTCAAAAGACACAAAACACTCACAATAACACGAATCAAAATGCATCATCTTCCAAAATGCAGGGTATTTGACAAATGTTGTCACAAAATTATAACCTATAATTTGGCAAGACTTTGACAAACGTCAAAAATCTAAAGGCGAGTTCATACGCATCGGCGTCCGTTTGTCGTTCATCGTTCCGTCAAACCAATAAAATTGAAATACGATCTGTCATTTTTGAAATAAACCAATAAAACTGGTTAAAAACAACAAGTGACGACGCATCACGAATTTATATTTAAACCCATCCATAGTTAACTTAAAAATTATTAGAAACTTTTTTTAGTAAAATAAATAGATTGGTATGGGACGTCATCTGCTTTTCTTCTGTCATCATCTGTCGAAATCTTACCTGAGAAAAAAAACAGAGTATAGGTCTAATTCTAATATTTTTTAAATTAACTATGGAATTATTTACATTAAGAAATACTTTTAAAATATATTAAAATCTAACATTTCTAATGAGTATTTAAATAGTTTAGTTTCTATAAACATTAAAATAAACTGTAGGCCAATAAATAAACAAAAAGATCGTGACAACTAAATGTTCGGGCACTTTAAAAAATAACTGTTCTAATATGGCGTTACATCGGCATGAATTTTTGTAACCACTGCAAGCCTGTTTGGCATTGTTTTTATTAATGCTTGACATACGCCAGAATAAAAATTTTGCCATAATTCACTTAATATAATCGTCAAATTGACAACTGTTTCTTGGGGATCGTGGCACAATTTTTGTTTTGTTTTATGCCACATGTCTCGATAACATTAAGGTCCGGACTGTGCGAAGGCCATGAGGGAAACTTGATGTTCATGTCCCTAAACCATTTTTTAGTAGTTTTAGCTGTATGGCATGCCCGCCATCCTGTTGAAATATAAAATTATTGTCCTGGTCTTTACCAGAACAATTGGTTACAAGGACCTTTATCCTTCCCACTTGACACAA